CTGTCAACAAGCCAACCCTGCTGCAGGAGACACCCTTGCTTTCCCCCACTGCAGTTCTCACAGGCACCCATGCAAGGGGCATCTGTGACTCTTCAAGATCCTCTTCATGAGGTTGCCAACATGCTTTACCTTTCCCAGTGGCTCTCCCTTCCCCATGCAGACAATGTAATTCTGCAATGGATGGGTGCCCTCAAGGGCAGCCTAAAGCCAGCTCCAAGCACAGCCTTGGCAAGGCACCCAAGGAGGAGCCTGCTGAGGAGCCAGTACCAAAATTAAGTCACCATGAAAATGACACCAAGGCACCACCCCTACCCCTGGGAGAGGCGAATAAATAGTTTCTCCTTCAAAAGCATGACATAGGCCCTGTGCCAGTGTAAAGGGACGTGCATGTTTGCATGTAAGAGTGGACAGTCACTGCACCGTGGTGCAGCTACTCTGGCAGTGCTATCAATAGGAGAGAAGATTGTCAGCCTGGCACCTTTCATGCCCCAGCATGGAAACCCATGCTGAGTTTGTGGGAGTATTCACGGTGCCATGGTGGGTACAGAGTGTCTCAGAGTTGATTTTGGAAATACAAGGTCCTTTATCACACTTCTCTTCCTTTTTCTTCTTTGAACAAATATATTAAGACAAAGTCACTTTCTGTTCTTCACCATTAAGCACAGAAAAGTGGACTTTGCACCAAATTATGCTACTGGCAAACATCTTCAGCTACTTTTAGCAGCTGAAGTAGAGGAGTAGTTGCAGTAGAGAAGGGAAGAGCAGTAGAAGCATGCAAACAGGGCTTTTGTCCCCAGAAGTTACCCAAAGACTCGCTCATGATAGGTTAGAGTTGTGGTACAATGAGAACAGGAGAAAGGAAGAAGAGAATAATTTAATTTATTTTTAATTGTTGATAAATATTAACCTTTATACAGTTACTGTATTTTCCATGCCACACTGTTACTGTGGAAGCTGCAGGAGACCTTCCATCAAATTCCCTATTTCCCAGCAGGTAGGACAAGCTTACAGAGGAGAAACAGGTCCAATTCAGAGGAGGGTTGCAAACCACCATCTCAGGAAGCATCCCAGCCAGGTTACTACAGGATGTTTGATGGGAGATGGAATTAAAAAGCTCGTCTCCACCAGTTACCTCCTAAGGCTTTGGCTTCTTTTTTTAGTTGTTCTATGTCGTAAATTTGGTTTACTTCTGAAACATCAAAGCAAACCATTCATAGAATTATGAGACATTCTTCCCTGTTCTGTTCATCCATACTGCTGCCAAGCCTGTCCCCAATCCATAGGCAGCCACTGCTAAGCAAAAGTTGCATTTGTCAGCACAAGCTATTTGATGAAAGAAAATAAAAATTCAGCCTGTTTTAATATCCAGATGGGTTTCAAGACAAGCAAGAGTGATTTAATTTTTTCAAATAGAGACAAAGAGGGAAAATTTAAGAAATAAGTTTCTGGAAAACTTGCCCGTGTCAAAATCCTCACAGTCTCCAAGAGGCAAGAATACAGCTTTAAAACACAGCATGAGGCAGGAGGGGCTGCACATCCTTGTCATGCACAGCCAAAATCAAGAGCCTGAAAGGAACCTAGATAAATCCCATATTGGTATAACTCACACTTTCTTTCACCTCTCCAGCCCCATTCCTCAGCATTATATCAAGATAGACTCTCACTCAGTTGTCCAAAGCCTGCATTACTCAATTCTAGGTGGGTGTATCCCCCACCTCACCCACCCTTCACCTCTGATCTCTGGCCCTGGCCTGCATGGGAGCTCAAGGTGGAGCCTCTCACATACCTCCAGTCTCATTCCAGAGACTCTAATGACAACATCCAATGCTTGTTTAACTTCAGGGATTGCCAGAAAGAGCTATATTTAGGAAAAAATTTTTAAAGTTGCCCTTTTGACTTGTGCTCTCTCATAGTTCCTGCACAAACCTTCTGGAGTTCACATTAACATATAAAGGACATTTTGCTGTAATAAAATATTTTCACTTCTTAATTCTCTGCTGTTATTCACAAACATGAAATGGGGATAATTAGCAGCCAAAAATAAGTTTCACAACTTCTAAAAGGTAACAGTTGTATCAAGTATATAAAATGTCTTCCTGGAAGCATGTATGGACACATTTTTAGTATTCATTTCTGACTTATTTAAAAAAAATGAATTGAAATTAGGACACCTGCTGGTATTCACCATCTATCTAATTTCAGTTATTGCAAGCACACAATAGAAGAGGAAATACAGGCAATTTCAAATAGCTCTACCATTTGCCGTCATATTCCATCTCTTGTTTAAAAGTGTACTAGTTGGAATGGGCTATTTTGATGGAAAAATATTAATTTTATATTCTGATTTCACTTTTTTGTTGCAGAAGACAGAGATGTACAAGACTTCAAAGGTTTCCAAATTGAACAGTTTTACAATGCTGCAGCACGATTACGATCTCTGTTACATGCATATTCAGAAGCAACAAGCAGCAGATTTTGAGAGATATTCAGAAGTATACAGTTATTTGTAATCAAAAACATCAGCTTGAAATTATGAGGATTTTGGTTCATTGTTTATCCCAGTATTCATGTTAATGAAAAGAGCTGTGAAAATTCCTGTCCCAGTTGATTTATAGTCCAGGTTTCAGACAGGAACATCAGACATATGGTATATGTTCAAGATAGTGCAAAAGTCTCAAATATTTTTTTAATTCATTTTTGTGGAAGCATGTTGTGAAGAATAGACTTCAACTGTGGCACCGGTTACAGGTAAGTAATCCAACTTGTTAGTTACAAACTCCTTGCAGTGGGCCACCTTTGTAACTGGGTTGCACCATCTGGAAACACCAGTGGGCTGGAGCACAACAGCTGGTGTTTCTTGTCATAGATCCTAAAACAAAGAACCAGAGAGCAATCTGGAAGAGCTCAGTTTTAGATGTTTAAAACCTTCTGAAACATACCAAAACATTTGAATTCACAAAATAAACATGTTGTTGTTGTTGTTGTTATTGTTGTTATTATTATTATTATTTTTACAAGGGGAACTCATATGTGGACATCAAAGCTATGTGCCATTATATTACTGGCTGCACCTTGAATTCAGTCACCAGCCATGTTTTTCTTCAGCCTTCCCAAATAATTTTGCAACTTTTTTCTAACAGATCAATAACTCCAAGTTTACAGCCCTTCTGATGCCCAAGGTACTATGTTCATCTGGAGACAGGATCAGTCTGAGCCGTATCTATTCAGGAGGTCCACAAATATATACTAACTTGAGGCTGAGATCAGCGTAGCTTGGAGACTACAAGACTGGAGCCCAATTTACTATGACATAACAGTGTATGCTTAGTCTGGTATCTATAAATATCTGAGCAGATTACACACCTCCTAACCTTGCGCTAAGCAATGTAATGTGACATAATATGGTACAGGTCACGTATGTCCAAAATCCTGCCTTTGCAGTCTGTGCCATAAGCCTTTTTCCCTTGTAAAGTAAGTTCAGGAGTGGAGGGAGAAAGCTAGGCCTCCTGGTGCTGATCTTCTCCAGACAGTCTCCAGCAGGGCACAAGCCCCTGCTCCAGCACTGAGCTGTGTGACCAACAACAGCTGTCCAGGGACACCCCGGACCGAAGAAAGCTGATCTGGCTGTAGGAGACTAGCAGCAGCAGCAAGGATCTGAACAGGGAAAGGAGAGGATAGTAGTTCATTAGCTAACAAGCTAATAACAAACGAGAAGAGTTTGGCAACCCATTCTAGTGGCTGGCAACCCATTCTAGGTTTGCTCAGTGTATGGTTTGAATGAAAGGGCTCTGCAGAAAAAAAACACCCAGAAGCAAAAGAGCCTGTCTGGGAAATGATCCCAGCCTCACCCAAGCCCTACACTGTATCTCACCACTCTCTTTTTTTTTTTTCAAATCTCTTCAAATTAAATGTAAAATTTGATTGGAAGTGTTTCAAATCCATACATACATTTTCAGCAGCCATTTTCCTTCCTGTTTATGGTATGACTGTTTAAGAGGGCATGTTAAATAAGTGCAGTTTTAAGGGACTGTACCTCTCACTTTTTAACAGCACAGGTATCTACTGTTCTCAGGCTGCTGTGAAATGTTATTTTTTACCACAAAATCACAGAATATGCTGATTTGAAAGGGACTCAGAAGGATCATCAAGTCCAACTCAAAGATGGAGCCCTGTGGAACCCCACTAGTGACACGTCACCATTCTGATGTTACCGCATTCACTGTTACCCTCTGTGCTTGAGCTGTGAGCCAACTGCTCACTCAGACAATATGAAAAGCTTTATTGAAATCCAGAAACATTACATAAACTGGCTTCCCTTGATCAACTAGGTGGGTTACCTTGTTATAAAAGGAAATCAGGTTGGTTAAGCAGGACTTTCCTCTCATGAAGCTGTGCTGGCTGTGACCAATGACTGTGTTGGTTTTAAGGTGTTTTTCAATACTTCCCAGAATAATCTTCCCCATAACTTTACCAGGCACTGAAGTGAGATTGACAGACCTGTAGGTTTTGGGGTGCTCCTTTTTGCCCTTATTGAAAACTGGAACAACATTCACCAGCTTCCAGTTAGCTGGGACCTCTCTGGATTCCCAAGACTGCTCAAAAATCATTGAGAGAAGTTTTGTGATGGCATCAGCCAGCTCTGTGAGGATTCTTGGATGAATCCCATCAGGTCCCATAGATTTGTAGGGACCCAGCTGAAGCAGCAGATCCCACACAGTTTCAGGGTCACCAGAGAGTTGATCATTTTCACAGTCAAGGTCCTCCAGCTCAGGACACTGAGACCCCCACGATTTGTCATCTGTGTTGAAGACATAAAAATGTGCTTTATCTTTACGTCAATTTTTGTGGTGTGAGCAAGACCTCATTCATTCACCATTAGTAGGTGGCAGTGCAGCTCCAGACATGACTACACTGAAGCAGCCCCAATAGGGTTTTGGGCTTGAAAGGGCTTAAGCCCTCTGAAGCAACCAGAAATAAAAATTCAGAGGCAGGCAAAAACATAGCTTTCTAACTGTGGACTGTTTATATTTTCCCCAAACCAGCAAAACTAAGCTTTATAAAAAGCAATGGGAGGGGTCAGCTGCAGATGTACATTGGAAGACTCCAGGGTGTAGGTATGCAGCACCTCTCCAAATAAAACTGTGTTTCAAAGTACATCTGCAGTGAGACGGGCAGTCTATCAAAAAGTGCCTGGGCCTTAAGCCTAAAAAGACAAGATGGTCAGTGAAATCCCTAAGGCCCTTTAAAATATTTTGAAAAATTACATATTAAACAGAGGAAAGAATTTTAAGCAGGATATTAAACCATTTATTAAAACAGTATAAGCCTTCTGGATATAACCATCATCAAGACACGGAGGCCTGCATGCAAATTTAAAAGGTGGTGGGGGAAAGAATTACTGTGGAATTTTTTAACAGAAAAAGAATAAAAACTCCTACTTAATGTCAAAAAATTAATGGCAGACATGACAAACTTCTACTGCACTGGTAAAGTTTCTGTTAAGGATGGAAGGAGATGGACTTGGGGTATCTCAGCTCCTGGCTCACAGGGTCTCTGCTAAACAGCAACAAGGCATGATTGCCCTCTGCATCCAACCTCTGCAGCGCTTTGCTGCTGCTTTTAGCTGGAAGTTGCCACCTCACAGTTCACAAGCTGGTCACAACTTGCAGCATAATCATCCAGAGGGAAAGAGACAGGTATTTTAAAATCTTCTGCATTGCCTATTAATGTTGTCACAAGCTAACTGTCTCGGAAACCATCCAAAGATGACCTTTGTCCTTTGTTTCTCATCATTGTTCCTCATATTAAAGGCATCCCTCCTTTTTTTCTTTTTTTTCCAATTCCCATGCCAGTTAGCTTGCACCCTTCAGTTTTGTTTCTCCATCCCTGGAAAGGGCTCAGCATCCACACAAGCTCTCAGACGTCTCATCCCTCTCTGCCTTGGGTAACAACCAAGAACATGCTGCATTTAATCTCTGTATTTCAAACCATCACCAAACCCTGATAATACTTGCTTGGGTCAAATGGATAATTTAGGGAAGCAGCATGTCTGGCCTTCTGAGAAAAATGTCACACAAATGCCATGGTTTTGGCAAACACAGGCTGCCTCCTAAAAGGCACATGGAAGTTCTCCATGCCAGTATTGCACCTCTTCTTGTTGCTACATGCCGCAGAGTGGTTGTGATTTTGAATACATAAAGCACAGAGGAGTTGGCAGAAATCCTTGTTCTCTGAAGCAAACTCTCTCCTTCCACATGTTCACAAGCTAATAGCACTTCCAGAAGCACCATGATGAATTTGGGGAAGCCAGAAACACACTCAGTGGTACTGGCTACATGCAGTTTCGGGATGAGGAGACACTCTGTTCCTCTGCCTTCAGTTACTCAGTGAGAGAGTCAGGAGGAGTATTTGACACTCTCATTGAGTCAGTTCTGTTTTGGTGGAAGTCTGAAGGTCTTAATTTGCTTTGTCATATTCATGATACTGCATTGGTCTAATTATAGAATCCCCTTCAGCAACGGTCTGATGCTTTTCAATGGCCCTGTGAAACCTTTCACATGGCCAAGCTCATGGCAAGGGAGTTTGTCACATCCAAAAGCTCTGGGTTTATCAACAGCTGTACAATCACTTAAAAAATAGCATCACTCTTGAAACTTCTACCTAGGAGCCTGGAGTACCACTGGCTTCCCTCACATCTGCATACTTTCAGAGCCAATGCTGAGAAAGGTGACAAGTTCTGCTTAAGGCTTCTCATCCTCTTCTGAAGTTCACCCTCTCCCCCGTGATTTCTGCATCCTCTTCTTCCCTTCTAACACCTGTTAGTGAATAATATTTGCAACACTGCTTTGTGAGCTATGAACTAAACCTAGCTATTCTGCTCTCATAATCTAAAGCACTTTTTGAGCCTTAATTGTCCACTAGACATGATACATTGCTTTAGACATCCTTGATCATCAAGGCTTTTTTACAAAGAGAATCAACATCCATTCAACACTAGTCAAAGAAATAATTTCACGCTGGATCACCAGGGCTCAGCTACCTGAAAACAGCACACATCACAACAGCATCACACACTAACACAGCCTTGGCTCAAACATGACCGTCATTGAAAATGGCACCTTTGTCAATGCTCCAGTAGTTATACACAGTAGAATAAAAGGCACATAATTCAGTGCAGAGCAGATATTCTCAGTCAGTCAAATAAATTATTCTAAGGTATCCATCCCAAAACATTTAATTGGCTAGAGTTGTGCATATCTCTGTATCGGCACATATTCACCTAATAGCAGACTCGAAGTCTGTGTCACTGACTGTAGCATGCACGTGGCATGCTGCCTTTATATAATAAAGAAATCATGTCACGCTCCCTGTGACATGGTAAACAAAGAGGTTTATTCAAACAATGAGCGCCCTTTTATACCTTGATCCCACATGATGCTTAACCAATAGGAGTGTTTGTTTCTGCACATGTCCCCTAGACTCGGTGTCTTCCTGTTGCACCTCGGGACATGTTCCCTACATCTCCCCCCTCCTAATTGTACAAGAAGGTCATGAGAACATTACAAAAGCAACAGCGCAAACAATCAGAACAGTACATTATAAACTACCAAGGCTTGCAATGATCCAGCATACTGCTTGCCTTGGCCTCTTATAGTCCTATTGTGAACCTTTTAAAACTCTCTTATATTCCTATAGGGTAGTGCAACTTGGAGAAATACCTTTATTAATCTATAGGCCTTGGCCTAAAGATGCAAACTTATAAGCTTTATTAACCTGAGGGTTTTAAATAACTGGGGAGTACAACTTTATTAAGAAACAGGCTAAGCTTAGCAGAACTAAATTCTCTTAAGTGACCCTGTGGCGGAGGTATTTGTGAGGTGTTTAGTGTTTTAATATTTGTCCAGACATACAACACTCTTATCCATTCATTCTCTCATTCGCTTTGATGGCCATCATTCCACACATCATACACACACATTCATGGGTTTTTATATACTGTTTTTTGCCACACTGGTCGTCCTTAAAGTAAACCTTAAACATAAACATAACTTTCTTATAACTTCTGCGTCACTCTGGTTCTTGCTGATGTGATTTTGTACCTTGTGGGGTGTAACAGACTTGGAAGGGGTTCATTTTAACTCTTTTTCTTCAGACTCACCAGCGTAGCCTCTCTCCCAAATCAGATTTAGTGGTTCCGTCCACTGCCCAGATACCAAATCCCTTACCATGACCGATGTTTTGGGAGAGGTACACTAGCCTGGGGTTTGTATTACCTTTCATACTCACATGTTTCCAGCTTGTCACAATTTGAAAATTAATAAATACTTGGTTTTTCACAGATATTCTTTTAGCTATACAGATTCTCTCCCCCCTTTTTTGTTTAGTTGACACTGTTTTGATGTGTTGTGTGCTTTTTGTTTAATTACCTGTGTAATGAGTGAGTGTGGAATACTTGTGACATGAAAATTTTCCTATTTGATAGGAGATATAGCTGCTTTACTGTGAATATTATGGACCAAGAGTTGCTGGGCAACTAAGCCAAAGTGTCTCACACTTCTGGCCTTTTCTGCAGTGGGTGTTGTGTAGGTTACGTGGTGCGGGTATATACCTACTGTTACATGTACATATTGTAATATGTCCAGTTCAGAGATGTGTGTGATACCTGCTTGCTCAATCTCATTTGCAATTAACCATGTGGGTTTAATGCATTCTGAGATGGCATTGTTGTGATTTTTTGACAGTTTGGGCGTGACGTGATGGAGTCTTGAGCTAATTGAATGTTATTTGAATTGTCTGTTTTAGGATCTTGCGTTCTGATGGACAAATTAACTAGACAATTTCGCTTGCCTCAAGACCTTAGATATGATGTTAAACGTTGTTATTTTGTCAGTCACTTAGTTCTTTATCAGTTGTTGGCCCTTACCTGTCATTAAGTTACCTTGTATGCATTGTATGAAAATCCAAACCTTCTGTAATTCACAAGAAACCAAACAGAACGCATTTCAATTAACAAGTAAACGCTAGGATATCTCAAATAAACAAACCTTCAAGATGGGGTATTAACTTGCAACATAACAGAAATCAGTTATAACATTAAAAGATCGCTTAATAAACTTTCCCAAGACAATACAGACGAGGTCATCTCCAGAACCTGCACAGCTTTGGTTCATGGTCTGCGTCTGTCTTTTCCTTGTTTTGTAGCAGGATTTTACCTGAGTTATTACAGCCTTTTATGCTGTTCGCAGATGCAGGTGTGAAGGTCCTGAAGCCTTTCACTGGTCTGTATTGGCATCTGGTCGTGGCCTTTGAAGGTAGATTAGTAATCTTTGCCCACAACCTGTGTTTTGAGAGATGCATTAAAGTTTTACCATGAAAGCTTGCTAGGGCAGCTCTGAACCTTGCGTCCTCAGCTGGCATCCTATCCAAATTGTCCTTCGTAGCTGGCATGTAGATGGTGGTAATGGCAGGGTCCTGTCCTTCCAGTTGCTACAGTCCTTCTCTGCCTTGAATGACAAGCCTTGCATACATCTCATTAACAGTCCACACAGTGTTAGATGGTACATGGGGCAAAATTAGCCACCTTAGAAGTTGCAGTGGGTCTCTTTCAGTCTGATCCCACAGTAGCAAGGCTGCTAATAGTTGATACCTGCTGGGAATGAAGGCTAGGCAGATTTGCAGTTCAGGATTTCTCCTTCTGCCTATCCCTCTCTCTATTGCCTTGGTACGAATGTCTAACACCCTTTTGGCTTCTGGTATCAGAAGCCTGTTAGACATTGGACTGGAGTCTCCCTTAGGCAGCTGAAGCAGAGGGTGTAGCTCCTCTGTGGTCAAGCCTAAAATAGGCCTTAACTGGTTTACAGCCCCTTGAAGCTTTTGCAACTCGTGTAAATATAAAGTGTTTTTTACCTTGAGCTGCAGCAGCTGTGGAGAATTTTCTTGCTGCCTGAATTCCTGTCCAAGGAAAGTCCAGGGTAACGATTGCTGAATTTCCTCCGCTGCAAGCTGTAACCCTGCATCTTGGACATTTTTGATTAGAGCAGTAAGACTAAATGGCAGTTCATTTCCTGTGGCCATGCTCATTGGTATGTTACCTGTATGTAGTGGTTTGAACCAGGTTTCCCCCTGAAGCTGAAAGTGGTAACCCCCAGGGGGTGGTGACCCTTGGGGCTTGACCCAATCAGTGCTCCTGCAAAATATAAACATATCTCTGGAGACCGGAAGAGAAGCAGTGGTACTTTTGTGAGAAGAAGAGGTGGCCATGTTGTAGAGGCCACGAGGAGAAGGGGCTCCGGCCCCTTGGGGGCCTCTGCCCCCCCCAGCCCCAGTTGGGGGGCTGCAGGGACTCGGAACAGTGTCAGACTGGACTGAGTGCCTGTGGCTAGGAGCTGGGGGAGTTTCTCCCCTGTAAGTAGAAGTGGGAGACGCTGGGAGCAGCGACGGAGCAGCAGCGGAGACAGCAGCGTCCGAAGAGCAGTGGCAAAGAGCCAACTGATAAGGACCAGAAGGAGCAACATAAGCCAGTATGCAGCCGGGGCAGACAGAGAGCTGTCTGAGGAGAAGGAAAAGCAGCAACAGGACAAGAGACCCGAGCCAGCAGCAGGAAGAGAGTTTCAGAGGGTAAGAACTGGACAAACCAAAACCCCCAAACTCGCTAGAGACCCCTCCGAGAAAGAGGAGGGGGTGGTGGACTGAGTGGAGTCCTAAAGTGCAGTATGCACTACAGAGAGGAGCTAAGAAGCTCCGGCCTCCTGAGAGCTCAGCCAGGATGGCCAAAGGAATGTGTGTGGAGGGGGTGACCTTGGGCTTTCCTCCCCCCTCCTTGCTGCAGCTTCAGAGAAGCTGGCAGCCATCTTTGAGGCAGAGCATGGGAGCTCTGCACAGGGGCTTGATTTCCCCTGAAGATACCAGACTGTCACGAAGACCCCCGTGCTTCGTGATATGACCGTGGTGGAACGACCTTGTCTGGGGTTACGTAGTCCACGGAAAGACCCCCGTTTGAGGACGGAGGGCCGAGGGGCTTGGAGACCCCCTCGTGTGTGCTGGCAGAGAGCCAGCAACTACTACTGCTGCCTGGAAGAGAAGAAGAGAGCCTGCTGCCTAGAGAGAACCTGTTGCTCAGAGACTGGAAGGGGTCTTTTCTTCTTCTTCTCTCCTGGACTTTTATTTGGAGGGAGAAGAGATTGGGCCCATTGTAAATATTATTGTCATGGTAGAGATAGATATAGAGTTAAGATTGTATGCAGTGTATTATAGTATTTATTTATGTGTATAGTCTTTGTAATATATTCCTTCCCCCCATATTGAGTCTCGTGTTTTTGTCTGGAAAACCCATCTCACATGGGGTTGAGATGTGGGTGGGGGGCTAGGAATCAGAATTGGATTTTGGGCCTGCTCAAACCATGACACTGTATAAGGATGTATCGTGGTTGTCTGATACCTTGCTAGGCTATTTGCATCCCCTGAGGACAGCCAGCCCAGCAATATACTTGCATGGGCCGTGCACAAGGCCATGATGGGAGAGGCAAGCCTTGGAACGTTCTCAGGGTGTAGGAATGTGGTAGAGGAACAAGTCTTGGAATCAGTTACCAATAGCGGCCAACTCGTTGGGAGCACATGGGGTAAAGGCAGTCCATGCTGCTGTGCTCCTACATGCTTTATGACTGCACTTACTGCTCTATATTTTGGCAGCATTCTCCACCTGTCACCTTTCTTGGGTGTGCAGTGTATAGGGGCATTGTCTGGGCTGTTTGTTGCCACTTTGGGGCCTGCTTCGAGCTGCTTCCTCTCTGGCACATGAAAGCCGGTGGCACAGAGGGCGGCAAACAGCACGGCAACAAGCAGGGCGATGCTGGCAGCAAGGCATCTGTTTTACCCTCGGCACCCTGGGTATAAGTCAGCCCATTCCTTGCCATTCGAGTATTTTGGGGTATTGCTGCAAAGGGGTCTCCAGATATAATCTCCTTGAAAGCGGTCAGTGCTACTGCACCTGACACCACTTGCTCTAAGTCTGGCCTCTTTTCGTATTCCTAGCTGGGCTTTTAGGGCCACAGCTAGAGAGGCAGACTGGTGCTCCTCAGAGCCAATTACTTGGTAGGGTTGAACCAGCTCAGCGGTGCCGCAGTCAACCCCTCCAGAGAGGGTTTGCAAAACCTTTTCACAGCTTGTGTTCACCTTATCAGAAGCCAAATGCTTATACAGCATCTCTCTGGCTTCACTGTATACAATTTGCTTGTGTAAAGCAGTCCGCAGCCGATTTAAATGTTGTGGGTTTGGCTCAGCACAACTGTGTAACTCTTTTGTACTGGGCAGGTTGCTGTCTTGGTCTGTGGTGAGAAGCCTTCTCATGGCTCTCAGTGCCTGTTTGATTGTTACTTTGTATTTTTCTCGGGAGTGATTTAATTGGGCACCTGCTGTGCTGTGTCTCCCTTCTCCAGTCAATGGATTTACTGTTATACCAGTTGGGGTGTTTGCTGTGTTATTGGCACGGTTCTCCCGAAAGTCAGATAAGCAGTGCACATGTTCTGTGTCATGTGAGGTGGAAAAGTGGATGGAATTCAATGCCTTCGGATACCCGCAGGCATTATTTAGGGATATGTCACAATCTCTTACCAAATGCCTCAGCCTCTGAGTAGCTCCGTGCAGGAGCTCAGGTTGAGGGGCGTGGCTTTGGCTAAACTCGTTTGAGTACGCCTGATTATCTTTCAGGCTACCTAGTCGAATCGCCTTATCCCTGTTTTGTTCCCACCTGTTATCCAACTTTCCCCTGTTTGCCTTTTCGCTCCTTCCCGACGGAACTACTGAGAGTCCCTCCTCCTTTTCCCCCCATCCCCCCTTCCCCGCGGCTGCGGCAGCCTCGGTTCCCGGTGGGGGGGTGTGGGCGGGTGTCGGAGGCGGCGAGGGGGCGGGGCTACCTCCCCCCTCGCGCCTATGGGTGGGACAGGGTGGCTCAGGGACCGGAAGAGACAGTTCAGTACCCGGGCCACTTGATGGGCAAGATGGCGACGCCCATGAGGTACCATGTGGCCGGCAGTCATCTGCAGGACGGGGAGGTAATTCTGCTGGCTTGCCACCCCGGTTGCCGTAACGGAGCCCTCTGCGGCTATCCCATGAACAGGGATCTCGCATCTCAGGCTCCGTCCCCTCCCAACGGCCAGTGCCCCTCCGGCTTTCGGCTTCTGACTCTGTGCTTAAATCACGAACGCTTCCCATTCCTCCCCCGCCAGACTTTGGGCGTTAGTGTCCCTACGCCTAAAAGTTGGGTGGCTGCTGCGAGCAGTGTTATTGAGGGGGTGCTTGTGGGTGTTATGCTCTTGCGTTGTCCGTTCGTGGGCTGTGTGTAGTGTATCTGTGTCTTTTGAAATTGCGGTGGGGAAAAAATTCCTCATTTTACCTTTTCTCGGCGGTTTGGATGCACGCAGGCGGAAGTTCTTTGTGTAGTTGCTGGCTGCTGGTTCTGGTCGGCTGGTTTCCCGGCTCGGCGGCGGGGCTTCTCGCGGCGGTGGCGGCTTGGGCTGCTGCGGCTGCGGCGGCGGTGCGCGGCGTCGGTCCTTCTCGGCGCGGCGGCGGCGCTACGATGTTGCTTTGGTCCCTCTCCAGTCTCTCCGGTGCCTGCCCGGTCCGATTTCTCGGTGACTTCTTCTTTCTTCTTTCTTCCTGTTTTCTGTGCACTATCCTATAGTTTTGAGCTCACTAACTTCGTTCCTTGGTCTACCCCAAGGCAACGTTTACAGACGTCTATGTTTTTTTCGGTAAAAACACTCCCACTTCATAAAACTGAAGTGATAACCGGAATGTTACCGATAATACCTGGTACAGGTTTTTAAGCTATCAGATCTAATGTAGATTCGGTCCCGTTGGGTCGCCATATGTAGCATGCACATGGCATGCTGCCTTTATATAATAAAGAAATCATGTCACGCTCCCTGTGACATGGTAAACAAAGAGGTTTATTCAAACAATGCACGCCCTTTTATACCTTGATCCCACGTGACGCTTAACCAATAGGAGTGTTTGTTTCTGCGCATGTCCCCTAGACTCGGTGTCTTCCTGTTGCACCTCGGGACATGTTCCCTACAACTGACGCTGCCATAATGTAGCTGACCTTTCCCTGGTCAAGACACATTGTCATTTCTTTGAGACATCTTCCGTCCCAGCTAGGAAGTCTTCAGGTACTTTTTCACTGGGGTCTCACAAAAGCCAACCATTGGATCACAGGATGCAAAAGGCATTGTCTGTTTTTCATGAATTAAAATAAATAAAACATACTCCATACAGAGTTTTAATGGCTATTAGAAATCACTATTGTAAGTTAGCACTAATTTTGCTCAAGACAACTTCAGCTTCCCTTATTTAACATTACACAAAACTCTCATTTTTTAATCACTACACACTTATGCCACAATTCTTTTGAACCTGAGATCTTGCCACACAGTTGCTCTCCTGCTCTTAGAATATGGAAATACAGAATATGCCCCTTAGAATATGGAAATTCCTTTTCCTTTGTGATATTTCCTCTGAACAGCTTTGACTCCACAATATAACCAATGTCTCCATAGAGTTATTGGCTGCCGATGCTGCAAATGTTCCTGAAAGCCTAACCGTTTTTAACAGCAGTATTGGGACCTGGAATGGGGCAACTCTGGAGGTATGTACAGACTAGGGAACAAGAGACTGGAAAGCAGTGCCATGGAAAGGGACCTGGGCATCCTGGTTGATGGCAAGTTGAATATGAGTCAGCAGTGCCCTGGCAGCCAGGAGGGCCAACCGTGTCCTGGGGTGCATCAGGCAAAACATCACCAACCAGTTGAGGGTGGTGATTGTCCTGCCCTGTTCTGAGCTGGTGTGGCCTCACCTCAAGTGCTGTGTGCAGTTTAGGGAGCCACAAAATAAGAAAGATAAGAAGTTATTAGAGAGAATCCAAAGGAGGGCAATGAAGATGGTGAAAGTTCTAGAGGGAAAGCAATACTAGAAGTGGCTGAGCTCACTTGGCTTGTTCAGCCTGGAGGAGTCTGAGGGGAGACCTCATAGCACTCCACAGCTTCCTCACAAGGGAAAGTAGAGGGGCAGACACTGATCTCTTCTCTGTGGTGACTAGTGACAGCACCTGACAGAACGGCATGAAGTTGTGTCCGGGGAGGTTTAGGTTGGATATTAGGAAAATGTTTTTCATCCAGACGGCAGTTGGCTGTTGGAACAGGCCCCCCAAGGAAGTAGGAAGTGATCACAGCACCAAGCCTGCCACATTCCGGAAGTGTTTGGACAATGCTCTCAGGCACATGGTGTGATTCTTGGGGTTGTCCTGTGCAGGGCCATGAGTTGGACTTTGATGATCCTTGTGGGTTCCTTCCAACTCAAGATATTCAATGATTCTACAATTCTATGACACTAACACCACATCTCGTTGTCCTCTGGCATACCAGGCACCTGCTTTATGCCGTAAAACAGGGCTCTACTTCAAAGGCACACTTCAGTTCCTCTATTCTAATGGTCTGGAAGTGCAAGTTACTCCCTTCCAGGCTCCATCTTCTGGACCAAATCACTGTCTTGGACCCTGGAAGAACCAGGCTATGCCTTTTAAGAAAGCAAATGTGTTCGGGATTTCCAGGTTTGGTAGGTCCAAGGAGAAGTCCTGCTTCCTCATCCCTGTGAGCTGAGCAGGAGGACCCCAGGCTTTGGCAGTCTGGTGATGCCCTGTTAAGCTGTGTTGAAGCCTTTCAGAAGGACTTGTCTCCCTAAAATAAAGAGTGTTTCTGACTCAATATCAAACATCACATCTCACCAAAACTCACACCAAAACATGATGAGATTTGCTTGTTGGCTTGGGTTTTTTACCAGAAAGAACATGCGAATAATGAAGCCTGGCAAGCCACTGATGAACAGTCAGAATGTACGCTAGTTATTACTAACTGTAATTGCAGCAATTATTAATTAACTGCCATTCTACTGTGCCAGAGAATTTCCTTTTCCTGACACTCTCTTCCCCTTGGAGTTTATTAATGACTCCTGACAGTGAACCTCTCCTGTTTTGTCCCTGCTATGTGTGAGATTCCCTTCATATCAAGAAGCCTTGTAAAATGTTTTAATAAATCATATAATTGCTTTGGAGAAAGGCTTCAGAACATATAAAAAGCTTTCAAAAAACATGTTTCAATTTATAAATTCACAGTGACCAGACTCACAGTTACAAAATCCCTGCTGATTCTAACCCAAGGGCATTCTACTTCCTCTGTCCCCACCACGGTGGGGAAACCTCTGTCTTACTTATGTGCAAGCATCTCTGCATGCCATGGGCACCAAGTTCTACATCCAGCAGAAAAACAAGGCAAGCAGGACAAGGGGGTCTCTCAGTTCCAGTTATGCTCCCTGCAGGGTCCACGCCCTTCATGCACACAGGATCAAGCCCCCCACCACATCAGCAGATGGGTCTATAGGACAATGCCCCTCTGCGTCTCCCACACCAGGTCCTCTTCTCTCAGGAAGATAGATTTGAGTAGTTGAAAAGATGGAGAAATATCTACAGACACTTGCAAAAACATCTTCATGCCAACAAGCTGTATCTAGAGCGCACACACACACATATTTTACTCACACTCATGGGAGTGACTTCTGAGAAAAAGCCAATAATGAAGGTAGTAAAACCAGCTTTTTAAAATACACCAGTGCAGTCAACACAAGCAACTACACAATTTCCAAGCATGACTTAAAAAAAAATCTCTGTTATGACATGAAGATATGCTAGAGTGTGACTTTTTCGTATTTTCACCCAGTCATACTCAAAACTTTTGGCTTAACTGACAATAATAATAGCAGTAATGAGCATTACTTCCTAATCACCAAGCATGCTATGCTTACCTAAACTAAACCAAACATGTTTTAAAATAAAACTCTGTTACTGTATTAAGCAAATTTGTGCTTAATATGAAATTTTTGACAAGTGCCAGTGGGAAATTTTCTTATCCTTGGTAGATGTGTCACCTTGCAATAGAAAAATGAGCTATTGCTTGAAAAACATCCTGAAAACAAACAGAAAAAAGCAGTGTATGCACATATAAGTGGAGTCATGAAGGAAGCACATACGTATTTTGCAGCCCATCAGCAGTTCTACCCAGAATAACGTTTCACATAAATGCAAAGGACATCTTTAATGCCAGTAGCTGCCTCAGGAGCAGCCATCCTCCATCCAGCCACTGCTTCAGTCAAGCCTCACCATCTGTAGTGGGCACTTTTTGAACACCTCTGATTTACCTTACACACCACTGATAGGAGGAAATTATGCGTTCAGCCCTCTCCACACAACTTCTCATCTATGAATTAAAGAGCTTATTTATCGGCGGAGGGAAAAACCATCCTCTGCTACCAGTCATCGGTGGAGGGGATATAGACAGATTGTGCACAGACCAATGTGATCGACAAAATGTCCGATTTATTACAAGAAGAATGCTCATTATATACTGCTGTTACACCTGGACGCTTGACTTCTTGTTCTACAGTATTGGGTACATAAGAGAAACATATTTTGTTTTCCGGTGTTAGTTGGAGCATAGCAGGTGTCCATAAGAGATGAAAAAACTTGTTTACCTGCCAAAACTCCTCCTTGACCTTGGCAGGGAGCCTTCTTTGTTCTGGCTTCAGAGCCTGTAGCCATGTTAGCTACGCAGCTTCTTCACTGTCTGCACCTGGTCATGCCACGGCAAGGTCCACAGAAATGCAAAGGAAATTGTTCACACAAAATCTCTATTCTCCCAACATTTATTTTAGAGGGAATGGAAAAGATGGAAAAGAGCATCCAAAGGACTTCTTACAGAGCCATACCATGGGCCTACCCATGCCCTCTTCTGGGCCCTCATCCCAGGGAATCAGGCCTTGGACCACACAGACCGACTTCATTGTCTGAATTCCAGAGCTGAAAATATTGCTTCTGTTGTTAAAATATACTAAAGTGGAGAAATACAGCCTGTATCACCCTTTCCTCCTCCACTGTCAGTATAACAACCACCACTTTAAAAATGTCTAGACACAATGGAGCATTTTTTTTCCCATAGCACATTTTTACATTTGTCATCGATGCTCTCCAAAACTTGCTAACTCAGAGCCAGGTATTCTTTATGTCAGTTGTCGTTTCTTATGGTAGTGTAAGCAAAAGCTGCATTTGTCACCATGGGCATATTTACAGCCTTCCTAAACTCAGGAAGGGCTCTTCAGTGCCGCCCAGTCAAGGCAGATAAGTTAGTGCATCTCAGGTCAGGTTCAAGGAGTCCAGAGGCAGCACATTATTCCTGGCCACATGGCAGGGAGAAGCTTTTGTCTAATTTTTGTTCAAAGTGTAAGAGACTGCTTGGCTTTAACCAGCCTACTTAGTTGAGCTGTGTAGTTCCTTTAAGTAAAGTCTAACGGCTTTGAATCGTATTAGACATTTTGGCAGTCACTTCAGCTCCTTTGCTCCGTAACAACCCTCTTTTTTTCAGTACGCAATAGCTGATCTCCCTCAAACTTAATTTATTTAACAGATACATAAAGGGCACCTCTCTCCCTTCAACTGCACTCTTTCTTTAGGCTCATGAAACCTTGAAACAACAGCACTGCTTGTCACAAGCAGCCACCCCTGGATGAGGGTTTTTTTGCCATCAGAGGGACGGAAAGGCTGTCTCCATGTCCCCCATGGACACCAACCTCACTGCAGAACTGCAGAGCTGTTGCTGGTGAGCCCAGCAGGGACCGCAGTACCTCCAGTCACTCCAGCTAAATCCTGCAGGAACCATGATGCAGGTTTCCATGGCCTTGCTGGGCTCTCATACCAGCACAGCGTTTGCAGAAGAAGCCCAAGGAAGTATAGAACAAACTCGCCTAACGAATGTGTTTATCATGTTTCCAACTCTCTTTTCAATACTTATAATGAAGCAGCAGGTGACTCTGCTGTGGAAGCAGGGGATTTGGACACCTTTTTCCCAGCTGCACAGCAAAGTGCTCTCCAGCATGAGGAAAAAGCAGTACCCATGGCAGAAAAAAAAAATTAACTAATTCCCTATCTGGTGAGAATGTTATTACTCATGAGGAATCCTAATTTTAACCAGTTCCTAAACATTACAATTTGTTTCAGTTCTTTTTTCCCCGAACACTCATGGCAGGACAGGGGGAGGATGGGGAATTGAGGGCTGCTCTTGATTTTCCCTTTGGGGTCTTGCTCACCATGTGAGGAAAGTGACTTAAAAAAACCCAAACCAACGAAAATTGTACCAGGGCCCTGGGGAGAGGTGAAGGGCAGGGTGATGTGCTCAGCAGCTTCCTGCATGGGGGGTGTACCCGCAGTGTACCCCACATGCCAGGGGGGTAGTCTCTGCGATGCCAGGTCTGCCACAGACAGTACAGGGAGGCAGCTCGCAGGAACATGGCATCTGTTTTCAGTTAGGTCCCTGAAATGCATAATCTGCAATTTGGCATCTCACTGCAGGCATCCTGGGGCAGCAGGGGAGAGGGGAAGGCTGTGATGAAAAAACATCATTGTGTTTATTAAAATATATCACTAACACTCAGATGTGCTTTCAGTCATCTGGTTGTTGTTGCTTCTCCTCATCTCCATGTTGGATTTTCATGTCAGTACACAAGCTGAAGGCACAGACTGGTTCCTGGGAAGCAAGAGGCTGACTCCTAGAAACCACACTGGGGTCTGGGAGTCTCCTAACTGCCCAGCCCTGCTGCTGGCTGATGGAAGTAGACCGCAGCCACCTCCATCCAGGGAGCTCCCTCCCTGGTTCTGCCGCATATTTGAGGCAAAGGCCATCCTCTGCAACCTACTAAGGAAAAGCACGATAAGGAAAATTTAAGAGTGAACGTTATATTGGTAAAATATGGCACTGCAGGTACCACTCTGACAGTGCAGTCGTGTGCCTGGAAAGGCTGGTCCCAGAGCCAAGCAGGTAAACCAAGCAGGCTCCACCACACAGCAGGGTGCCCAGTCCCATCACAGAGGTGTCCCATGGGCACAGTGCAAGCATTTGGAGTACAAGAGGCACAGAAGCAGTGGTAAAGGGAAAATGCCTAAACCTTTTTAAAAAGCCTGTCTATTGCAAGGCAAGGAGGCATTGCTGTGAAACCTCTCATGCAGCCAAAACTTCCTCCCTCAAAAGGAAGGGGAGCAGGGCCCCACACCTATTAATCCTTGGCAGATTAAAGCATTCATTTGGTACTGGGTAGATAGTTTCTCCAGTGGCAAAGGAGACAGAGCGGTGCTCCGATCCCTGTGGCAGCCCAACTGCTGCAAAGCCAAAAGGCCCTAGGCCCTGCAGATGCTGCCAGCACTTCTGGGGACATGTTCAGCTGCCCATCACTAGCTGCCAGTCAAGGCACTGACTTCATGGCCAGGGGATGTGCCTAGCACTCCCTGACCCCACATCCAAAATTCAGTTTTGCACATTCCTCCCAGCCTGCCCTGGCCCTTGGAGACTCGGCTCTGCTATGCAGTGCTTTGCTATGCTGTGCTCACCATGGTTTTTCTCTTCCAGGTACCTCTCCTAACACACAAAAACACCACACAGCTCGGGTTTGACTCAGCTGCTCGAGCACTTGCCTCTCAATTAAAATGCTGGCGGAGGACAGAGCCACACTCCAACCTTTCACATAATACCGCCATAGTTAGAGCTCCACTCTCCTCAGGTGGTAGGAAACTTCTGACTGAGGCCACGTCTTTCAGCTATAAACATTTCTCTTCATAGATAAGTACTGGCAAAAGAGAGGCCTGCCACTCTTCCCATTGCTGCTCTTAGTTTTGCACAAGTTTTGTAAAGGCAATGGTCTTCTCATCCACAGGATGATGTTTCCCCTTCTCACTACTCCCCCCACAGAATGGCTTATAGCTCAGCAATTTGGGACCAACAGGAAGGAGTCGGCTTGAGGATCCTCTCAGACAGAGAGGAGACCCAAATCCCTGCCTTACAGATTAGATCTCTAGGCATGGATCTACTGTACAATAATGAAAGCAACCAGCCATTTTAATACAAGACAAACCTCTTTCCATAAACACTCAGTTCCCTTCCTGGACTAGGAAGGCGGCCCAGGATGACTAGCCAAAATGTTGGCCACACAACTGGGAAGTCTCAATATTTGATGCTGAGCCATGCACAGTCTTGGCTGGGAGAAACACCTTGCAGCAAGTCACTCAGCCAGCATGGCATTGCTGTCATGAGCTGTGCTGCCACCAAACTTAGAGCACCTCTGGAAAATTGCTAGTAAAATCTAGAGCACCTCTAGGCTCATGGATATGGTGGCAGTTTTCAACTAACTGCACTGTTCAGGTAGGATTTAGGTATCTTCGTGGCGGTGGTTGTCATTATCTAGAAGTTATAGACTCCAAGTGCAGAAAAGCGAGAGCTGAATTAACACGATGCTGTGCTTGAGCTCATGAGCCTTTCCACGCAGTAGAATACATCTGCCCCAGCATGGTACCATGCTAGAGCCGCCTCAGCATGAAGCTGAGTCATGGCCAGCCATGCCTGGGAGCAGCATCTGTGCCAGCCCCCTGGCTGCTTGCCCCTCCACCACTGGCACGATGGCCACCCCTCGCACTCTCTCCTGTTACTCAGCAGCTCTTTGCAACACTCAGGAGCTTTCCCTGTCCTCCAGTCATCTTCACACCCCATGGAAATATGATTCACAGGCTGTTGCAGGGGAACAGACCACAACATATGGGCAGATACAGTAATTAGTGTTTTCTCCCCTTCATTTTAAATCTTTCCCCAAGATGTGTCTAAGTCCAGTGTTTGTAAAATTGTCTATGCCATGATCAACAGGACTAGGCATACATAAAGTGAAACAGTGGTTTAATCTAGGGCAGCAGAGCCTCACAGCAACCTCAGTTACTCAAACCAGCCACCAGCTTTCAGAAGTCGGTCCCTTTCCTGTCCAAGCATGGATAATTTCATTGCATGACAGCATAAGCCACAAACACAAAACTCTCACTACAATAGGTCACTCTTTCTCCCATAATGTATCTGCATGGCCATATCTACCCTATCAGGGGGTTCTATGGCAGTGAAAACAAGACAAAACATCAAGAAGCAGATGAATGGTAACACCTACCACTGCTCATGTTCCCATTTTCATTGGCTTGGCATGCTCTTTAATGTCATGTAAAGCTGAGTTAACTGAGGCATGAGGCTGCCTATATTATTCTGGTTGCTGTTGAAAGGGTACAAGCCAAGAAAGCAACCTTCCTGGGGAAGAGCAGCAGGGTTGTCATGCTAGGAAACAAAATTATGCTTCTAAACCACAAAACTGCTTGGTTCCTGTTTCAGAAGGTCAATCAGCTAAAACAGTGAAATCAACCACTGAACTGCCAAAACCAGTGTGACTCAACCACAGGGCAGCAGCGCTTGAGCCTGCCGTATTAGACATCCCAGGTGTCTGTGGTCTGTAAGCATCAAGGTTTTTTGCTTTAGCCATGAGTGTTTGCTGAACGGCACACCCAGCTGGACCAGCACACTCAGTTGGACCACCCCTCCAGCTGTCAGTTCAAACTCAGATCTCACCCTCAGCCTCGGTCCCTCCACACCACTCATGCTCATCTCCCCGCATCTGACAGACCCAAAAAGGGTCAGCTGTGCCTGGGAGTCAACACATGCTCGCAGCCTCTACAGCCAAGAGTGAAGGCAGCAAAGCTTTGCCAGGTGGC